CGGCATTACACTACAAACAGGGTGAATCGTTCTCTCATGATGAAATTATGATTAAAATATTAATAATAGTAATAATAGTAATAATAATGATCATAACTATTAGTATTAATTTTATTATCATTACTACATGGCTATCGAACTGTAAGGGATGTGTATGATGGAGTTTATTCAAACAGGTGTTCACTTTCCCTGCCATTCTGTTGGGCTCCCTATACATGGGTCAAACGGAAATGGGAGGGAGAGTAAGCATATGTTTACATGAACTTTTTCTAAAGGCAATAAAAAAGTCCCAACTTGTCCTCGGTACGAATTCTGAATAGTGCCAGCAAACTTTGACGGCTGTTTTTTTCCAAAATTCTAAGAGGGGCTCGAAGGAGCTTGTTCAGTGGATTCCGATTTCTGAGTTTTCCAAAGGAGGAGGGCCGTGTCAGGTGTAGGCAAGGTATATTACTGCATTATATCAATCCGTAGTTATGAGGCGTCAACGGTGGTTGCAGAAATCCCAAGCTGGAAAGTATAGCCTGAGGAACGGCCACCTGAAAAACCAATAAAGGTCGATAGAAATTACTGAGGCACCAAATACTCTGGAAGGATTAAATCCTCGAAATAAATACAAAAAAAAATCTCAAGTATTTATGATAAGCGGTGGAGAAATTCGAAAAGACATTACCAATGGCCTTTGCTAGAAGTTTGTCAGCTTTTAGCAGAAAGTAGGAGCTTTTTCTATGGATTTTAGTGGAGATCATTAGGTTGCTGATAGAGTGGGTAACCTGAAAGCTGTTGACCTGTCATAAGACCTGAGAATTCCTTTTTCATCACCATTTTCCTCGATCCCGAAACCTTGTTTACGCATTGAGGATGTTTCTTTTCTACCAGTAAACAGTCTTTTTCTCGCCACGAGGGTCTACCCTTACTGTATGAACCTGTTTCTGAAGAATTCTGATGTATGATGGACTAGTTCTTTTGAGGTTCTTCGACTCGTTTTTTATGGTGAGCGGGGGGACTTGGGAGAGAGCGCAAGACTTTTTTCTGGGAGTCTTTTTCGTTCACCTGAAATTTGATACAGTCTCGGTTTTGCGCCTCTCTTTCTCCTCCACTCCCTTATCATAGTGGTTTTACTGGGCAGCCTACCCATACCTTAACCGGTCTAGCAGTTGAACATTCCAATCGGCTAGGCAATCGGCTAGGGGAAGGAAGGAGTACAACGTTCTTGCATTGATTATCTTATGAATTAATAGGTTAGAAATCCGAGACAAACTTTTTGCCCTTTGTCTCGATCACAAATATGTCCCACATCCTCTTGGTCTGTAGTACATGACCAAGACGAAGTGGGCCATATTCGTGTTGGAGACAAATGACCAAAAGTTGGCACTTTGTCTCCATCCCAAAGCAGGTAGCAGGCAACCAAGGCAGGCAACAGGTTCGATTGAGAGGCTAGCTTTATGTTCCATGATCACTGCCAAGGGACAAAAGTTGGAACATAGACAACACTGGAACATAAAACAAGCCTCTCAATCGAGCCTGTTACCTCCCTTGGCTGGCTGTACCTTTTGACGTCGTTCTGCTTCTTCGTAAGCAAAGGTGATCTTAATCATTCTTCAAAGATTTCTTAAACAAAGTGTTGAAATGACTCATTCTTTGTCGTCATTGTAACATTGATTACGGAAAAAAGTTATCAAAGAAGTCACCGCATGATTCAATGTAAACACTGGATGAAACTAAAGATCCGCTGACGCCTATAACAACAGGGGACTTTAGAAATAGTCGGTCAAGTTTTTCCTCTCAAAATTCTTTATAGACTCATGGTTTGACTCATAATAAATGGAAGGGCGTGTTAGTAGCATAGTAACACACCTTATGAAGTCTACGACACATATGATGCTTACTTTTGACTTTCTTTTGTTGTAATTTCGTCGCACTGCGCGAGCAAAAGTCCCCAAAGAATGGCGGTCTGTAAGCAGAACTCAGACTTCGGGCAAACTCGAACCGTACTCGTGCATGCCGTACTTGCTCTCCATTCCTTGCACTTTTATAAGCCATTGAAAAGGCTAGGGCAAAGGCAAAGGGCGAGGGCAGGATGGAAAGAGGTTGGTGCTTGGAAAGCACAAGTACGGGTTCGAGTACCATCAGGGGCCAGAGCCCACAAATCGCCGTCGTTGTTAGATAATACTTTGTACTTATCCATACTTTATTGTGTAAACAACGCAGCTCCCTCAATTTCACTTCTATGACTCATAATTATATGTATGCTTGCTTGGAATAATCTGCTCTGCTCATTACCGTGAGCTTCAAAATCAAAAGTAGTAGAATTTTAAGCTTGTAATCAGTGAAAAGAATTCAAAAACTGCGGTGTATTCGTGGTTCAGATTTCGAGAACACTCGGTGCTGAATATGGTGGCTCAATTGGATTGCTTTTTTCTATGGCAAACTGTGCTAGTGGTGCTCTGTACATAGTAGGATTCGCCGAAACTGTAAAACAACTATTGATCGAATCGGGAATTACAATTTTCGATGGAGATGTATGGGATATTCGCCTTGTGTCTGTAGGTAAGTTATGGATAAAATTCAAATGCCATCAGAACTCGATGTGAATTTGCAAAATTTATCACCGAAATCGCTTTTAAATGGAACGATTTTCGTATTTTTTTTNTTTTTTTTGTGAGCAGGAGAGGGGGGAGGGGGACTGAAAAGTCGGCAGTTCGATTCGGATAGAGATTACCTTCATGTGTGTACCGGTGTACCAGGCATTGTGCCTGTCCATTACTCTGTCAGGACTTTTACATCGGCTTCCCTCGACTTCTTATTAGTTCCTCATAAATATTATATGGGCCTTATATTTACTCATTTGTTTGTTTATTCATTTACTCATTTGGACGGTATATTCAATGAACCGCACCACACAAACAGAGAACTGAATAAGAGCAGAAACAACATTGTTGTCGAAAAACGGTGAGAAAGAAAAACGGTAGTTCCAAAACGCTGTATACCTAGGAAAATGCCCATATTCTAGCCTTGAATAGGTAAAATAGTTTTCGCTTAAGAGTATTTGTGATGCAAAGAAGACCCATGGGCCCTGATAGCCTAAAAGATAGGCATGGGGTCCATAGAACATCGATGCGGGTTCGAACGTATGACGCATAACCCAGCAAATTGGGTTATCTACGCACCGCAAACTACGCTGTAAAAAGCAGCCCATTATTAAATCCCCTATTTAATCTATCGCCAACCTTACCCTGATTCTTACCTGGCATAACTTTTAGTTACGACGATTGTTTTGATGGCCGTCATCGTTGTGTCGCCTGCACTTGAGAGTAAACTACAGCAAATACTTCTAATACCCCTGATCCTGTCCGTTCTCAGCTTTATCATCGGATCATTCATTTCTACCAAGAACAAAGTTATTCATGGATATACTGGATATAAGTGTAAGTTTAATTCATACACAGTTTTTATGCTTTTTCTTTTCTTTTTCTAGGTAATGTGAAAGTTTTATACAAGCCCACATTATTATCCCCATGCTACTCTATTCATTACAACTTTTCCTATTTCAAAGGCTTATAAGAGCTCTGTCTTGAACCTCGGTTGATCGCTGGAATCTTACTATAACTTAGTCATCCAAGTTGGCACTACGATTGAATGGAAGTCGAATGTGGGGCGCATTCGAAAACGGATTTGATCTGGGCTAAAGACTTTGTCCTTCTTCCTTTTCTTTGCTTAGTATAATTGTTAACTGATGAGTATAGTTTGCTTTGACGAAGTCTCAGCAATGAAGGAAATTAGTGACTTCCATAACAATCACCTTTT